GGTCAAAAATCTAGAAAAATACTCATTCATAACTTGTCCTTTCAAAGCCTCATATTTTTTTTCTCTGACCGACTTTCTTTTTCTTCTCAGCAACCATTTATTGTAAAAAGAAGTAAAATAAAGTAGTACTAAGTATTTGACGAAAAATTTTTTGGGATTTACTTTCCTCTTTTGACAGATTTATAAGTTTCATTATCTATTGGAGTAATGTAAAATAAAATTGATACTTTAAAATGAAATATAAAAAAATTTATAATTGAGAGTACAAAGTGAAATAAAAATAATAGTTTAAGAGAATTATGAGAGAGAGACTGAGAGAGAGAGTTACTTGGCGTGACGTTCAAGGTGTTCTTTTTATTAGAGATTGAAAAAATAGGTGGGAAAAATTTATTAGATTATGTGTTTAGTTCTTTTACACAAACATCTATATAATAAAATAACTTATAATTTAAATTTTAAAAATAAACAAAATGACTGTTGTTATTTGCGATTGAGATTACTTTAAATTTTACTTTAAAGTTAATCTAACGACTAATATTAACACCCTAAATTTAATTGAAAAAATATGACTCTAAGGATGTGTGTTGGAATGAATTTTTAAAAGTATTTTTAAGAATTATTTCTCATAAGTACTTAAAAAAAAATAGTGTTCGAAACCGTCTAACCACTACCTTTACCACCACCGCCGTCGTTGCCACCCCACCACCGTCGCCGCCATCACCACCACCACTACTACCACTAACACTACCACCGCCACCGCCACCATCTCTGTCACCGTCGTTGTTGCCACCACCACCACCACCACAATTACCTCTTAGCCCCATTACAAACCGATACTTAAATTTATTTATCTCTTTTTTTAGTTTGTGATTTAATTTTAAATATAAATACAAATATATTTTTTATTTTTTATTTTTTATTATTTTATATTTTCGGACACTGACAATAACTGGTCCTTAAATACCTTCACTAACTTTACTTTGCATCCACAAAATCAAGCCGAGTCCAAAACCGCCCACATTATTTAACAATCTTTATCTCCATCCCTACTTTAGTAATATTTTAAGAGACTGTATCCTTATCCAGTAATATATTTTTTAATCAAACCAACATTACTTTTATATCATTTCCATTTGATTTTGACAGCCGACTCAGAAATATTTAATAACTCTACTTGTAATTGACTCGAAAAAATTTGGAAACATCCCCTCCATCCTTATGTTTGTACTTTAAGAGGAAAAATGATTGACATCTATTGCCATTGAACTAATGATAAACAAATGACAATTGACAAGGTGGTGGGGGCAGTCTTTTAAAACTCGGCCTGGCCCGGCGGGTTGACCCGATGATTCGGTGAACCAGTCCTTTAACTGGGTCAATTTTGTAATTGGATCATTTGAGCAAAGAACCCGGAATAAAACCGGTTAACCGATCAAAAAATCGGTAACCCGTGAAAACCGGACCGGATTTACAAAATCGGCCGGTTTTGTTCCTTTAGTATAAATATGTTTTTTTTTATATTTTTGTGTCTTTTTGTTTTCTCCTAAATTCTAAATCATTCGTTCAGTGTTTGTTAACTCAAAAATTAAGTGAATGCAATTAAGTGATTCAAGTTTGAGGGTGGAGGCTGAGCTGTTAATTGAATGCAATTAAGTGATTCAGGTTTGATAACTTTGTTTGATTTAATATATATTAAACATGTTATTTTTATAAGTATTTTAATTTTTTAGTCTATTTATCATCATTAATAATTATTTTTTATTTTTTTATTATATCACCGGTTCAACTAGTGACCCAATAGTTGAACCAGAAATCTATTGACCCGGTCCCTTCTCCGGGTTGGTGTCCGGGCTGAGTTTTAAAACTATGGGTAGGGGTACTTCCAGAGTGTCTTTCCTTTAGGCATTTAAGAGAGAATATTGGATAAAATAATGTCTGATTTTACCTTATTTTATTTATTTAGATATATATTTTGGGTTCGATATTATTATTTAAAAATATTTTTAATCTGGATAAATTGAATTTTTAAACCCATATATAACTTCTTAAATAAACTCATATATAGTCCAATTGGGATATGTTTTGCAAAAATATATTTTTACTTTAAAGAATCTCTATGATATAATTATTTTGAGGGTTCTTTAGTAATTTAATGTTTATATTACCATTTAATACTTAATCCAAATAAAATATTAGATAAGATAAATGTGTGGTCTACTACTTTTTAATACTTGACCCAAGAGTGGGACTTAAAAATCTGACATAATGATGTGGTTTCATTGGAACCCTTGAATTAATACCAAGTTCTAATGTTTGATGGAGCCCGCAATTAATCCAAAAGTCATAGTAAATCTATATCATTATGTCAGCAAATTATGTCAAATTTTTAGGTCTCAATAACATTACTCCTTGACCCTAATATGACATATAAAAATATTATCACTATAATTAATCTAAGAGTTGGATAAATGCGTATGGAATAGACGAATTTATCCGATCTCCCCCTTTTTAACGCCTAAATCAAACACATTCGAACGGTGTGTTTGGCAATCACTTATGAAATTGGACTGATCTGGATTTAGTATTCAAACCGATCCAATGAAATCCAGAGTAATCCAACCAAATACTTTATTTGAATTGGAAAATTTGGAATCGTGGACCCCAATGCCATGACCAAATAAAGACCATTACCACATTTGCAATAAAAATAGTTTTTAATTCTATACCAAATTTGGATGGGTTGTTATGGTGGATAAAATTAGTTTGGAAAAATATTTGAATGAAAACAATCAATAATAATAATATTGATTGTCATAAAATAAGTTTTACTTATTTCAAAGTGAAATTATAATTTTTAGCATATTATATGAAATTTAAGAAATTATAATATTTCAATATTGTTATATCTGTTGGTTTAAAGACACAAGATCGAACGCTGCGTTAAAATTTTTCATGCACACAATTTATGACCAAAATAGCCGAAGTTACATTTTTATGTATAAAAACAAACAACAAAGGATGTGATTGTAGTTTTTCAATTAAAATCAAATGGCACATGAAATAGATTTGAAATAATTTACAACATACTCGAAGCGTAGTGCTCGTTCGAAGACCCAAAAAATACAACATAACCTTGTACTCAAGAGGGGTATAACCGAACTTCTCATCCTGAGATTAGATGTTTGAGTCTTGGAGTATATATTGGAGTTCGATGGTTTATTATTATGCTAGTTTAGTTAGATTCATTTTCAAGAGGAGTAACGAGCAAGATTAAGGCCCTCATTATCTCACTAATGAGGTCTTATCAGAGTTAGCCAAAAAAAAAAACCACGTTACAACTTTAATTGCTAGTTTAGAGATCTCAAGGGGGGCATACCTTTGAGCACGCGGCAGTTCGCAACTCAAGACAAACCAGTGCATTCAGCTGAAATATGATTGAAGTGAGTAAAAACCTAGTTAATCTTGTCTTTTACTCTTTTTTATTGTATTAGATTGAATTATTTTATTTAATCCGTCTATTTTTAATACGACAATCAAACGAGTCTAAAAAATTATTGTATAAGGGTGTTTATGTAAATTACTCAATTAGTCTGTTAAATAGGTTGCAAATCTCATACTTCACATAGGTTATGTAGCATAGAAGGGATATTTTCCTCTAATTCATACGACCTGACTTTTCAAAGCCAACAATTATATTTTTTACAATTGTCTTGTCAAATCAAAGATAAGTGAACTCTAAGATAATTTTAACTCACACCCCCTTCTTGTTCCCCAAATCCGGTGATCCAAATTAATTCAAAAATTTGGAGTCCCTTGGTAACGTTTTTACTTTTATTTTTTTGTTAGAAAAATTTAAAATATAACACATATTTGGTAGTTATTTATTTATATTTATATCTGTATTACCTATAAATGTCAACATCTCCCAAAATTTTTTGATTTTCTATTTTATCTTTAATTATTATGATAAAGTCTATTATACTAATCTATATAGTTTCATCTAATTTATCTTTGTTACATCTATTTAACTTTTAACTTATTTTAAACTTTTTTATAAGTACTTACAAATTTTTTGGAACTCATTTATTAGTAGTACAATTACATACAATTATCTATATTTATACGATAAAGTAAAATCTTATATGCGTTAAATTATTATACACTTGTAGTCATCAGGTTGAATATTATAATCTAATATATGTTATATTTTACTTTTTGGTATGTAATAATATTATAAACTATCTAATCAATCAATTTAAAAAATAAAAGTTACTAATTCTATAATATAATTAGATATATAAATACTTAAAAGAGTCAAAAAAAAAAAAAAAACTTATATAATAAATTAATAATTAAATTTAATACTAACCCATAACCACACCCACTGTTTAGCCACCACCAACCACCGAACATTCACCACCCAACCCACCACTAACACTACCGAAAACCCACCACCCAACCCACCCAAAACCCACCACCAACACCAGTCCACCACCACCGATACACACAGACACACATATGCATACACAAAAACATGTTGAAATCAACAATCAAAAAACAGAGATGAAGAAAAATCCCTAAATCTGCAAAAATGAAACTTAGATTTGAAAAAAATTGGAAGGGCTCGTTGCTGGAGAGAGCTTCGCCGATGTAGAGAGATCCCACAGAAGGCTTCGCCAGATCCCACGGACCCGAGGGAGAGAGATCGCTGGAGCTGGAGCCTGAAATGCTTCATGTGAAATACTGTGTGAAATGCTTCTTGGCCTTTTACAGAGTAAGATAAAAAAAAAAAGGTTATTTTGCTGGGAAGAGGATTCGAAATCTAGACCTTATTAAACGAGAGTTGGACAGTCCGCATGTTTTGACTTTTTTATGTTTTTAAAAACATCTTTTTGAATGTTTTAATCTTATTTTTAAAACGGAGTCGATAAAAAAAATACAAAAACATTCACCAACCTTTTAGTCGAAGTTATCATACGTAGAAATTGAAAAGCTCTCCAATGGCACCAACACCGGCATCACCAGCAGACCATAATCGATCTCAGGTACTGGAGGTCAATCCCAGAAGCTACATGAATCCACTACTGCTCTTGCGAGTCCTTCTTCTGTTGCTCTTGTCCGACATAATCGTTTCACACTCCATCATCAAGAGTCTACCGGGCTTTACCGGTGATCTTCCATTTCAACTTGAAACTGGGTAAGCTTTTTCTCCCTTTTCCATTCCGATAAGATTACGGTGCCAGTACTGGTACCGGAACCGTAAGGTTAACTGTTTTATTGGTAGGGGATTGGATTTGGTATTAAAAATCAACTTTTCGGTATGGATGTTATTTTTCATCTAAAAACGAGATGAAGAAAGTTTTATCATTTTAATATTTTGTTTTATTTTACAATTTTTTTTTTATTCTCTTGACTAATTCTCGCACCGATAAATATAAATATGTAGTACTCAGTATTCACATTTAAACTTTTTTGGAACTATACGAAAAATGAAAGATTTTTTTGAGTAATTTATGGTCATTCATCAATAAAATAATAAAATTTTACACATGTCATTTTATCACTAGCCAAAAAAAAAAAATAGTTTTTGGGGTAAATTACATCTAGACTCCATAGAATTTGTCACTAATACACACAGACCCCTTTAGATATGAAAAATAACATTGGCATCCCTTTAAGTTTGAGATGTGGTAACGTATAAATTTCTACCGTTAATGTCTGTATAAAATACCGTCCATCGAAATGATGTTAGCATATTTACATCACACAATCCCTAAACTACCCCTTAAATAACCGGGTCACTAACCTCCCACAAATCCCACCATATTTTGTGCATAATATTCATTAAAAACCTCCATAAATTTAATCAAACATTACCCCCACCTCTCACCATAACAGACCACTGAAGTCTGAACTTCGCTCCCAGACTCCCACCCGCCAATCCCACTGCACAACTAGGAATCATAGCCACCTCGACTAGCAACAACAACAAGCACACCACAACTACAAGCAACCATCGGTCTACAGCCTCAACTCACCAAATCCAAAAAAACACAACTCAACCCACCAAATTGGCAAACACCTCAACCCTCCTCTTTGGAGAAAGGAGGAGACGGATAGTCAAGAGGGTTTTTCAACATGTCAATGAGAGATAGGGGTGGTGTAGAGAGAGACACAACTAGGCTTAAAGGGGCATTTTATGCGGAGGAAGGAGCCGGTTGGACATGACACTTGATGAGCCCAGAGTTTAACAGGTCAAGCCTAGTTTGTGAATTCGACCAATCCGAGAGTCAAGGGGTCCATGAAAAATAAAGCACGTAGGAGAGAGATCATCGAGATGGATACACAGAAATTAATTATAACTATTCTTCCGAAGAATTAGTACTCTCACACTCACGTCACTGTCTCACCATACCTATAAATTGTAAATTCTCTCCATATGATAAGACACATCTTGGCATCTCACCACACCTCCCTATACAGACATTGCTTCTTTCTCTTAACTATTGTATTTCTTTCGGAGCACACCTCTCCTGGAGTTTTCTCTCTATTACTTTATTCATCAACAAAGACCCCCCCTATCGCTACCGAACCACTATATTTCTGAATGTTGACTTCATATTTAAATTATTGTTATTGATTGCTTTATTTATTATCTATTAATTACATTTCATCACACTCGATTGTTAATCTTGCACGAGTTAGTTTTGTGCATCATCAGTAATCTTGCCAAAGGATCATGCAATGGAGGCAGGAGGAAACAGTGAAGCGACAGATGGAGGAGAAAGGCAGGATTGTGAGTTTTGGGACTTGCGTGTGTGCGTGTGAGACTGAGAGAGAGAGAGAGAGAGAGAGAGAGACGGAGGTGAGCATGGTGGTTGCTGAGTGTGCGACGGTGGGGTGGGTATTGGGGAAGATGAAGTGTAAAGGCTTCGGCTTATTTATGGGTTTAGGGCTTTGTTTGGACATGGGTTAGAAATATTCTTTGGTTGGGCTTAGGTTGTTTAGATGTTAATTTTTCTTGGATAATGGGTAGGGCTAAAATGTTATTTTTATTATTTCCATCAGTGTCGTTTTCAAACAGTTATTGATAAGAGTAATGCTATTGAGATCTAATTTATTGATTTAATTTGTTGACCTAATTCATTGTGACATTTAGTTGACTGTGGGGTCCATCAAACATTGAAACTTAGTGTTAATCTAATAATTTTGTTGAAATCACATCATTATGTTAACAAATTATGTCATATTTTTAAGTTCAAATAATATTATTCTATTGATAAGAGGTGTCACTGTAAATTTCCATATCTGAGGGGGTCCGTGTCTATTAGTAACAAATTTTAGGGGGTTTAAGTATAATTTATCCTAATTTTTGAGCAATATTATTTAGACGTAATTTATTACCCTAATATACAGACTTAATTCAATATAACCGTTGAATTGATTACGAGTCTCATCAAATATTAATCCAACAATTACAATGAAACCACGTAATTAAGTCAATTTAAATAGTATTACTCATAATCTTTTGGAAGATCTACGAAATAAAATTATTTTTAAATATAGTATCGAAAATTAACGATTTAGTATCATAGTATTATTGGGTGGTAGAATATCAAAAGTTAATATGAAGTCACGACTCAATTGAATAGACTTTAGATTCATCCAAATGATGTGTGAATTATCTTTATTATTATCAGTAGCGAACTAACAGGGGAATTACGATGATTTTGGGTGAAGTTATATTGGTGTTGGAGAATCAGATGAGGTGCAGTTATTCTACTACTTTTTTGAATCAGAAAGGAATCCGACAGATGACCCTCTCATCCTTTGGATAGCTGGTGGTCCGGGTTGTACTGCTCTTCGTGCCGCCTTCTACGAAAACGGTACATTTTGGTGCTCTTTTATCTTAAGTTCCTAACTACTTAAAAAGTATACACAAATACATACAATTCTTCATTATTTATCTTTTACAACTCGCATATTTCTCACAGTCTTCTAATATCACTAATCTAAATAAATTTACATTAAACTAAAGATTTGGTATACATTCCTGTGTCCTTTCTAGTCAGCTATAAAATCTTCAAACCTATGTGTGGATGGAAATTTTTCAATAGAAAAAGGATTGCTGGAAGAAATAGTCACAGGCCCACAAGTTTGAATAGGTTGGAAGTAACACATCAATAATGAAGTACTAAAATTGACTTCATCAACCAGAAGGAAAATAAAGGGAAAATTATAAGTTAACCCTCTTGTAATTTTACCCATTTTAGTATTACCTCGTTATACTTTTAAAACTGCACATAACCCCGTAGTAATCGTATGAACCAGCATGAGAAGTTAGATTTTTCATCCCACTTCCATTAATATGTATAGAAAATCTAATGATTCTAATTTGGTCTAAAACTACTTGGGATTATGTGTAGGTTTTTAAACTATAAAGAGGTAATTTGTAACTGGGTCAAACCATAGTTAGGGTGTTTTGTAATTTGCCCAAAAAAAAATTATTAATTAAATAATGTAGCATTTCATAAGAATTCCAATTTTCTATGGCATGATTTTTCCTTATTGTATGTTGGGAATTAATCGAGATAAACATGCAATAGAGCGTAGTTAATATTGGGATGATTAGTAAAGAAGGTTTGGTCTATGGGTGGAATGGAATCAGGATGCTATCTTAATCATAGATCACCCATGAACAAGATTTTGAAGGGTAAATAAATCATTTCCTCATTAAAATCTCCTTATTCTTATCATCATTTTGTTTTGATATAACTTAGGGTGTTGAATGAAATTTACCCTTATTTTTAATTGGAAATTGTTTGATGTTTTTACTTTCCTTTGTAGGCCCACTTATGTTTAACTATGCAAATTCTAGTGGCAACATACCAATACTGGAGTTGAACCCATATTCTTGGACAAAGGTGTTAAATTTTACCTCACTGCTTGTTATGGTAAAATACGGAATTAACTGTAGTGACTCTCTAATTTCTCAAGTAGTGCAAATTATTATGACTTTATAGGTTGCCAACATAATATTTATTGATCAACCGGCTGGCTGCGGATTCTCCTATGCAAAAACATGGAAAGCTTATGAAAGCAACGATACAATATCAGCAGCACTGAATTATGATTTTCTTAGAAAGGTGAGAGAAACGTCTTGCATGGACTTCTCTTAAAACCCCTAGTTAAGGGGGACCAAACTGGGTGATGACAAATGGAACTAATAAAGATGTTTATTCAATTTTTGGATTGTGATGCAGTGGCTTTTGGATCACCCCAAGTTTCTCAAGAATCCACTATATATATGTGGCATTTCCTATATTGGCATGGTTATTCCAATCATTGTTCAGGATATATATGATGGTATGTATGGTTGTTGAGACTCCTTTATTTTCAAGCTAAGCTTCATTTTGTTTCCAGAGGAAACCAAAATATTGAGTCACATAACAAGAAATTTGAAACAGATTACGTGACGTTGATTTAGAAAACTGGTTTGTCAACAGGAGAAGAAACTTGCAATGATGCCCTTTTCTGATTTGTTTCACAGCCTTTTTTGAGTCTCCAACCGCAGATAGCATTCTGATTTTTCTCTTCACTAGTGTTTGCTCATTACAAAAATTGGAAGGCAGAGATTTTCAGTCAGACCAAGTTCTTCATTTCCGCTCATATCGTGGATTTTCATTCCTTTTTCCACTTTTTTTTTGGTGTTTGTAGGTAATGAAGCTGGAAATGAACCACCAATGAACATTAAAGTACCCGATTCTATAAAAGATTTTGAATGGGCTGAGTTACATTTTATTCTGTCCTGATTATCATGTGTTCTTGTTTTGAGATTCTACAGCAGCACTGAATTTTATTGTCTTTGAATTGGATTCAGGGATACATGCTTACCAACCCTCTAACTGATAAACATGGTGACGTTAATTCAAGAGTTCGATATGCTCATCATATGTCACTTTTATCTGATGAACTGTACGAGGTAACTACCTATATTTTGCGTGAGTTTTGAGTTTTTTCAACTTCTCTACACTACCAGGTCAAAAGGACCCTAGGGAGCCCATAAAAGGTATCTAGTACAACCCCCTTTTTCCATAGGGTTGAGCATAATTTATTCTGTATCGGTGAGTCCATTAAAAACCATGAGAGCTAGACAAGTTGGTTGACAGTCACTCACTATAATTAGAGGTGTTAAGTTTAATTCTATTCTAAGTGTGGCTAAAATATGAGCGGAAAAACTAGAAATGAGAATATTCGTGAAACCATAATATCAAAATGAAAAATAAATAAAGAGAGAATTTTCTAGTGATTTTGACATATTTATAGAAGACCTATTGTTGTACTAGTAACAATGAGTGCTTTGATGCCAACGGATAACAATGTGAGAGGTTACATCGCAATAAACTTTGAATGAGATAATAAGAAAAGTTGTGATGGTTTGCGGTTTAACACCCTTTTTTGGAGCACAATAGAGGACTATAATTAATGTAGCCGATCTCAAATAGTTTGTATAAGAATGTGTCAATTTGAGTTTTATGTTTATTACGAAGGCACGATTCTATATGTAATGTTTTGTGGATATTCAGTCAACCAAAGCAAACTGCCATGGCGAGTACATCGAAGTAGATCCCAACAACGGATTATGTGCAAGTGATCTACAACTAGTAGACAAAGTGAGCAAGATTTCTTCATTGGTTTTCATAATATATGCTGTCATATACAATATTTACTGGCATTAAGAGGTTTCACCATTTGATTGTAGTGCCTCGAGAAAATTAATTCTAAACAGATTTTAGAACCCTTGTGTGAGACAACAGTAGCAAAACCAAATTTGCTGAGATGGGACAGAAGCTCTCTTGAAGAGAATCCCATTGATCTCATGTGGTCGCTACCTCTACTTCCACAACAATGGTGTCGAGTAATCCTCCTCCCCTTCTAATACATAAAGTTATGTGTACTTTGGAGAGACATCTATTGATTTGCCAATTCTCAAAATTATATTAACAACCTGATCTTTTAATTTTTGTAGAGCCATGGTTACCATTATGTCACTGTTTGGGCTAATGACAAAACTGTCCAAAACGCTCTTCACATTCGTGAGGTACCTGTAATCTAACGAGGACCAATATCACATTTGATTGTATTTCATCAATCATTTTACTGTGACATGCAGGGAACGATAACAGAGTGGGTGCGATGCAATACAAGCATAGAATACTCTTTTGGTGAAAGTGCAACCGTATCTTACACATTCAATGTCCCTAGCACTGTTGACTATCATCGAAATCTAACAAACAGAGATTGTCGAGCTTTAATAGCCAGGTAATTCAATCACATAATTTTCTTTATTCCTGTTCTTGTTGCACCTTTGAATGAAGTTCATCTATTAGTCACAAGTACATAAACGGCCTTTTAGGCGTTTTTAAATAGGCATCGTATCAATAGAAATAATTGAAAAAGGGATCAAGAAAAGACATTGTGATTAGGTATCAAAATTGTGTTCCTCCCGCCCCCCACCTCCTCCCTAAAAAAGAGAAGGAAATATTATTCTTATATCTTAAGTTTTTATCTTCCAACAGTGGTGATCATGACTTGGTTGTTCCACATCTGGGCACAGAGAAATGGATAAAATCTCTAAATTTGACAGTCGAAAGTCGTTGGCAACCGTGGTTTGTTGAAGGTCAAGTAGCAGGGTGAGTTCCTCCACCCCTGGGATTTTTTGCCACATAAACTTGAACAGGTTTAAATTTTTATTAACTAGATATTACAACTTGTGTTTTGCAGATATACTGTATCTTATACACACAATGACTATTCATTGACATATGCAACAGTCAAGGCATGTAATTTTTACCTTTTAACCTATATCTCAAATAGTGGATTCATAAAATGAAAAACCAACATTAATTATGTCATCGTATTTGTATAGGGAGCAGGTCACATGGGTCCAGAGTACAAACCCAAAGAATTTCTAGCCATGATTGATCGGTGGTTTGCTTACTCGCCTCTCTGATCAACAATAGCAGCTCCCAATCAATTCAATCGTCTTCAGTGCCACAGATCTCATGGAATTGGAGCCACAGTCCAATACTATATAATAAGCTGCTGCATCTCAAAGCATTTGTTAACAAACGTCCACTTTCGATTATTTAACAAAAAAAAAATGGGGTGCAACTGTAAGTTTGTCCCACTATGTCTGTATTCGGTGTCACGTGTTTAAATTATGAAAACTTTTATGATTTTTTTCTAAATCACTTACTTGTAGTAGTGTTACCTACTAGATTGTCCATGCTTTTGTGTTACGAAACTTTCGGGAATTTTTGAAAATTTACCCATGCATTATCAAGTCAACAAGACCCTTAATACCCATAGTCCATTGATAAGCTACACATATATATATAACCACTTCCTCTCATGCCATAAAAGTCCTTTAAAGAACACAAAATATCAGTATTTTTTCAAGTCTATCTCTAGACACTGAGCAGTATTATCACTCTAGGATGTAAAATCAAGAACCCAAATTGTAGTTTAAGTGGAAACAAAAACGAATGTAAATTTAAACGTTATGAGTTCAAATCTTAGCAACTCTCTAAGTTCAAACTATAAAGGATTTATTTTTCATGAATACCATAGTTCAGGTGTGGATAACCCTATTTTTTATTAGACCGGGGAGGAGATTAGTCGAGGTATGCGTAAATTTACTCAGATATTCCTTATCAATGAATAAAAAAAATGATGTAAAATCAGGCGACCAACTAAGAAGGCATGTAAGAGCCTGTGCTGGGCTGATCAATAACTGGATTCAACTCGTAGTTGTTAATTCCTTCTAAACTATATTACTTTAAAATGTCAACAAAAGTAAAAAAAAATTGTTTGATTATTTTACCCTTGATCTTTGTTATAAAGTCAATTATATCATCTCATTTTTTTTAATTTTTTTAAATTAATTACATAATCTTCTCGTATCCTTTCATCTTCTTAAATTAATTATGTGCATAAATTTAACATTTAATTATATTCATTTGAGTTTTAACAATTAATTTTAACTTTTAATTTTCATTTTTCTTAACCAATCTTATCTTACTTATACTACTAATATATTTCATAATTTACATCTATATCTATACTATTAAAAGTCTCTTAACCCAAAGAATTTGTAATTTTTTTTAATCCTCCATCTATACTATAATCACCATAAAGCCAATTTGTATCTATATCTATATCTATACCTATATCTTATGTTGTTTAGATGCTTCTAATTCTATTAAATTTATCTTTCATCATAATTATTGTAACTTGATGGTAATAAATATCGATTTAATTTAGTATGAGTTTTTCATATTCTTATTCTTTCACAAAGACAATGTTATACAGTGAATACATGGGGAATCAATTCAAGCTGTCATTATTCCATACTTCAATCGAACTGTTTCTACCTATCGATCTCCCTTTCTTTCTCTACCTTTGACTCTCATTGTCAGGGTTTGTCTACATTGCTAAACAAGGGAAAAAATCTAGAAATTTTTACCTACAACATTGAATCACTATCACTGACGAAGCAATGAGTCATGTTTTTCAGTCTGCAACAAATAAGATCGAACCAAAAAGAATCAAACACCAGACTCATCTGGGTTACAATGCTTCATGTTGGTGTGTCTCATTCAATGTATGCTATTGATTTTCTTTTTAAAAATGTTCTTTAGTTGTTTTTTGTCTTTCCAAGTCGTTTTCTTGTGTTGGGGTTTGGTTCTGACAAGATTCTGTTGTGGTTATCTATTTTTGACTAGGGTTTTGAATAGATTGTTTGGATAGTGCTTAGTTTTTGTTTTAACAATTTGGGTCTCTCGACCAAAAAAAAAAATAATAATATGGGTCCAAGTAGACAACTTTTCTTTAACGGGCTTGTCTCTTTTATTGTTTTAGTTGTTGATCTTTTTGACAAATTTTTATTGAGAGTCGTGTTTGATTTATCAATTTTTTCGAAATTGTGGAATTAAGATTCGATTGAAATTCTTGTTTTTAGATGTGTTTTTGATTTTTTGAATTATTGTTGACCTTATACGCAATTAATACTTCAGTCAGTAAACCATAGGAAAAAATTTGTAATTTCCCTTTCAATTCTAAAAATTAGATTCATATTAAGGGAATCATGGTAGAAATGACATTAAGACCCAAGTTCTAGACCTTATAGTCAAGTTGAATTAATAATATCAGCGAGCTTTTTTATCTCGACGGTACGAGTTTTTACTATTTCTTGTGCTATTTTACCAAAATTTCCATTACTTGCACAAAGCAATATCAAAGTTAGTGAAGATTGAGGTAGGATGAGAGCTGATCTAAACTCGAAAAAATCAACCAGAAAAAAATTTAGTAAAGTTGTGTTAATTCATATCAAACATGGTTTTTTCGAAGTGAATAGAAAAGATCCATGTTTAAAATAATTCAGCTATCACATAGTAATTTCTTAATAAGCAATTTCTACAAGCTACGTGAGCAAAAGTCCCACAAGGTAGAAGTGGTACAAGACTGATGTAATGGAGGTGGTTGGCAAATGACAGAATTTCACCTTCATATGATGGTTCCCTTGCCGTGAATGGCTTCACTTGGAAAAATCCCAAGGTTAGATAATTTGGCCCATGGTTGAATGAAACATTGGTCTTTCAAGTGTAAAAGAGTGAAGAAAGTGATTGACGACATCTTTTACATTATTGATGAGCATTATTAGAATTGTGGTTTTCATTATTGATTCTTTTTAAAATGCAGTTGTGTTTTTTACGATTAATGTTGGAGTGGTGGCAAAAAAAAATGGGTAGGAGTGACTCATTGAATGCAGTACCACAAAAAGAAATATAATTCTTGTTCATTTTTTGGGGGCATATGGAGTATCTAGTCTTAGTTGAAGGATGTGCTATTGAACTCTTTGTTTCATTCGACTTCATGACAGAGTTTATCTTCCTCAACTTTGTTTGTTTTATTTGTAGACAGTTGTATATATCCCTATTTTTTTTTTTGTTCTCTACCCATTCCTTTATTTTTCTTGTTATTATACTATAGTTGTTGGACTCCTATTTGGATTGTGCCCCCTTTGGAGTTTCCATCCCACTGACTGTAGGTATGAGCTTTTTTCTTGCTACGTCTATATATTTCTATTGTTTTCAAAAAGGATGGCATTTTTCTCAATGACTATTTGGTAATTCAAATATTACAATTTAAGATGTCTGAGCATTGCATGTGGTGATTTTTGTTTCTTTATCAAAGTAAAATTAAATTTGTAGCTGAATTTTTTATAGGTTGTATGTTCTTTCGGGACAGGTGAAGTTGAGGGAGTTTTAAGACTACTTAATAGAAGCTGATTCTTATAATGTAATAGGATGGGTGAAAAGTAGTCTCTTTCAATCATGTGACTGTTTCAATCTTGTGACTCTTTTGAATTTGAAATGCATATTTGCATATGATTGTTGCTTTGACTCCTACTCGACTAGCAATGTTTTGGCATTAAACCCTGTCACAAAAGATGATAACAATTGAGCAAAATATGAGGAAGTATATGAATACAAATTTATGCTATTATAATACAATAGTTCCAATATTACCTGTAATTTTCTTAAATTACCTCAACATATGCCTTTAGACAGTTAGATTTACATATGCTGTAGAATTTCTTGAATCTCTT